TCGATTTGTAATTGGGGTGTTTTTTTGTTTCGATATTTAAAATAATTACAAAATTTTCCCAAAAAAAGTTTCGGTATTTACGAAATTTCGTAAATATTTACAAAACATTTTGTAAAGATGGCGGACCCCCGCGCATGCGTAAAAACACTTCCGAAGCTTCGTTATTGGCGGGGGTCGATCCGTTAAGGGTATAACGAATTGATTCGTTAAAATTCTTTTTAGTAGAAGGATGCCTGGTTCTTGTGCCTCTGCAACCACTCAGCGGAAGTGAGGTATAGAGAGTGGGATGGCAACAACCTCCCATCCTGGCCTGGAAGAGAGACCCCATGAAATCAACAGCTTTCTTCTCCTATCCCCTTTGCTTCCATTGTTGGATCTCAGACCAAGTTAGTGTCCCTCCTATGATTGATGGAAACACAGTAATGAGCAGCCAGTTCTGATAGTGGCAGCAGGGTTGGCAGTTGCCTGCTTCTGCTCTTGAGGCAGTGGGTGTGATGCTACTACTCATTCATTCAACTGGAGAAAAATGCTGTGAAATGGCAGGAGGCATGAATTCTCACCATTTCACTAATTCTTGCATGTATCTCCAGTTGTATCCAGTCCCAACCTCACAAATACTCATCTCAGGCGGGCCACGGAGGCAGAGCCGGCGCTGCAGGAATCCCCTCCCCGGCTCCTGCGCTCCGGCTCCGGCTCCTGCGCCCTCCTCCTCCTCCTCCTCCTCCTCCTCCTCCTCCTGGCACTTCCTGCAACACAGCTGGGAGAGAGAGGCGCCTTAAAGAGACAACCGGCCTCCGCGCGCCGGCCAATCGGGAGCCGCGCTCGCGCCCAACAGGCAGGAACAAGGCTTGGCTCCCTAAGGGCGAGCGCGCGCGGGCCGGCCAATCGGGAGCCGCGCTCGCGCCCAACAGGCAGGCGCGGGGCTTGGCTCACTGGGTGCGCGCTCGCGCCGCCCCTTCGCCCCTGCCCGCCCCATTTACGAAACGGGCGAAAGCTCGTTAAAACTGTGGGGGTTGCCGTTTCGATATTTAAAAACCCTTCCGGGTTTGAAAATATGGTTTGTTATCGTTTCGTAAATGCAAAAATTAACGAATGTTTAACGAATTACGAAATTAACGAACGAAACCGCACAGGCCTACTGGTCACCACCGAAACCTGGGGTTCCAGGCTCAGCGATGAGTCCAAGATCACACCCAAGCTGCGAACCTGCGTCTTCAGGGGAGTGCGGAGTGTGCATGGCGGTGGCGGTTGTTTTTTAGCTGCGGCTTGCGTGTTTCGCGGTTCTATATTAAATGGCGGTCACGTTGTTTGCGGGCCTCTTTCCATCCATTCCAGCCATGACAATCAGGCTCGTTACTCGTTTACCCTAAAAAACTAAATTCGAATTATTTTGAATAAACTTACGCTTGTGCTTCTTTTTTTTCTTTTAGTAATTATGCCAACCAATATAGTCCACCTGCAAGGCAGGAAAGGAGAAATTGCATATAGTCATGTCTAAGCATATACTAAGGAGGCTGTCCAGGTCCTGAACCGGTGCTTGGCCGCTGTGACGGTCTGGATGAGGGCGAACAAATTGAAACTGAATCCAGACAAGACAGAGGTCCTCCTGGTCAGTCGCAAGGCCGAACAGGGCATAGGGTTACAGCCTGTGTTGGATGGGGTCGCACTCCCCCTGAAGGCGCAGGTTCGCAGCTTGGGTGTGACCCTGGACTCATCGCTGAGCCTGGAACCCCAGGTCTTGACGGTGACCAGGGGAGCATTTGCACAGCTAAAGCTTGTGCGCCAGCTGCGCCCGTACCTTGGGAAGTCTGACTTGGTGTTGCAATCCAGAGCAGGGAACGAGGCCCTAAGATAACTATCCACCACACTTGGCTGTGAAAAACAATCCTTTTTTATTGAAGAAAAATGGTTACAAAATAAAGGAAAAATGCAAGTCAAAAGCCACAGCAAAATCAGCAAACATGAATTTAAATGGACAAAGCAAAACCAAAAGCCTCACTGGGAAATACTGGAACCTGTTAGCAATCCACTAACCGTACTTGATATCCTAGAAATCTTCCCAAACTATGGCCAGGGAACCAGGAGAACTGCCAAGGTCTTCATCAATTCTGAAACGATGCCTGAACTGAGACAATCAGCTCGGCGTATTGCAATTAAAACTCAAGAATTGGTTCCGTGAACCGCCCTTCTGTTTTGAAGCCAATGTTTTTAATTCTTGAATTCGGGAGGATCGACGCAAACTGAGTGATTTACTTCTGTCTTCCCAAATTTGGCCCCTTCTGTTGTCATTACAGTTAACAGGTGCAGAAGGGAGGGAAAGTTCAAGGTCTCCCTCTGAAACATTCTCATGAACACTGGTACTTTCATTTTCCAAATCTACAGAAGTTCCTTCCTCACTAATTTCAGGAACATTGGCATTTTCCAAACCTACAGCAGTTTCTTCCTCACTAATTTCAGGAGCATTGGCATCAAAAGGTACATTTCCATTAGCATCAGTAAATATATTTTCATTAGCATCAGGTTTCGTTAATTCGTAATTACGTTAATAATTCGTTAATTTTTTCAATTACAAAACGATAACGAACCATTCTGGAGCAATTATTAAAAAAAACGAATTTTCAAAAACGTTTTGTAAATGCTTCGTATTTCGATATTGTATTCGTTTCGTTATTGTTTTGAGGTCGTTTCGTTATTATTTCCGCATGTCTGGGCCAGTTTTATGGTTTAATTAGTGAAAAAAAATTATAATATCACACCAACAGTCAACAACAGAGGGAGAGGGAAGCTTCAGAAGGTTTTGGAGGTTTTTTAGCGTATTTCGCGGTCGCGTCCGCCATTAACGAATCGATTCGTTATTGTTTCGGAAATCGATTCGTTAATTTTTTACCATTTACGAAATTTCGTAAATATCGAACCTTTTAAAAGGAAAATTTTGTAATTATTTTAAATATCGAAACAAAAAAAAACCCCCAAATACAAATCGATTTTAGAAACAAATTTTTCCGTTGTTACCCAGGCCTAGTAAATATACTTTCATTAGCATCAGGAGGAACAAACAGAGAATCAGGTTCAAGTTCAAACTCAGGCTGAACCCCAACACTTGGCCACGCTAGTCCACGCTCTGGTTACATCCTGCCTAGACTACTGCAATGCTCTCTACGTGGGGTTGCCTTTGAAGACGGCTCGGAAGCTTCAACTAGTCCAATGTTCAGCAGCAATGATTTTAACAGGAGCGGAACGCAGGGAGCGTACAACCCCCCTGTTGCATCAACTCCACTGGCTACCGATTTGCTACCGGGCTGAATTCAATGTGCTGGCGTTGACCTTTAAACCCCTAAACGGTTCCGGCCCAAGCTACCTATCTGACCGCATCTCTGCCTATGAACCCACCAGGACTTTGAGATCTTCCGGGGAGGCCCTGCTCTCGATCCCGCCTGCTTCTCAAGCACGGCTGGCGGGGACGAGACATAGGGCCTTCTCGGTGGTGGCTCCTCGCCTGTGGAACACCCTTCCCACGGACATTAGGCTAGCACCATCTCTAATGGTGTTCCGCAAAAAACTGAAGACCTGGATGTTTGTGCAGGCGTTCGCATAACTAGTACAATGATTGGCAATGAACATAGGAATGGAACAATGGATGATGAATTCTGGATTATGTTTTTAGATGATGAGACGATAGTGATTGGTTAATGTAGTAATTCTATTGTTTGGGTAATATGTTAATTTGTTAATTGTTGTTACATTATTGCATTGAATTATTGCTGTTTTTATTGGTTGTGAACCTCTGTGAGTCGCCCTCGGGCTGAGAACAGCGGTATATAAGCAAAGTAAATAAAATAAAATAAATAAATAAATAAATAAATGAGATTGTGTGGCTTCAAAAATGGCTACGTGTGTCAGTGCTGACACACATGTCATAGGTTCGCCATCATGGTCCTAAGAAGTGGGTTAGATGTGGAAGGACCTAGAGGTAGCTGTAGATCAAAAGGTTCCAGGATGAAACTGCAGCTCAACCCATTAAAGAAGTAGGACACCATGTTGGTTTGTTTGTGTGCTGCACCCAAAAGGTGTATATAGAAGTTAACACTAATCCCACTACCTACCTTAACACACAAGTGTAGAACCCGCTGTCTTGAACCTCCGCTGCATGGAACCAAATCGAGTCTTCGTCTTTGCTCATTCGAACTTCGGAGAAGATGATGGGCTCTTCCAAGTCGCCCTTGTTCCTGTACCACATGAGCCGGAGGCCTGTGCTTTGAGCCATGCTGTAGTTAGTCCGGATGTAGCTGTAGAAAAGAGCGCATTTCACTCGGACGGGCTCGCCAGCCAGAGCCATGTACCTTTTGAGATCCACCAGCCAGTCGATGCAGCCGTCCACTGAAAGCAAAAGAGAGAAACAGGTGTGAGAAAACTCAGGGCAGAGAAATGAGACAAAACCTGATTTAGACATTGATCTTGGCAGGATTTCGCACTCAGCCGCGTGAAACTTCCAAAATCCAATAGCAAATGAGCTCATCCATCTATGCCTCTCCCTGACAATCTAGTTGAAACATGCCTAAAGTTATTTTATCACCATGGGGTTTATATTGATCAATACGAGCCCCCACATTTGCAAGTCCGAAGTTGACCCAGAAGTCTGCAATCTCATTCTCAGTGAATTCTGTCTTTGCACATTCTAAAGTGTCTTTCTGTCTTTGCAATTCTGCCTTTGCAATGCTAAAGACTGTCCGGATCCACTTTTCCTGAGCTTTTGCAACCCGAAAGACAGTTGCATCTGTCAAGTAGGAAAATTAGGTTCCACCTTAAAGCGTGGGGAGGGTAAATTAACTGATTTAGGAGGCCATAAAGAAGACTCCAGCAAAGCATTCCAGCGGGGAAGCATGCGGGGAATGCGGAAGTGCTTCATCAGCATCGCAAATGGTCAAGGAAAGCGACAGCTCCCCTGGTGGCCAGAAAAAAGTTAAATAGCCTCTGTGTATGTCTGTATATGTCTCTATGTCAAAAATTGGCGTTGAATGTTTGCCATATATGTGTACCCTGAGTCTCCTGCGGAGTGAGAAGGGCGGAATATAAAAGCTGTAAATAAATAAATAATAAATAAATAATATAGGGATTAGAATGCAATTCTCTTTCAGATGTTGTAGTTCTCTGGATACAGTTCAGTATCAACTCAAAAAACAACCTGGGGTGAAGACATCCGCCCTTGCGCTGTGCTAATCTGCTGCTGAGTACGCATGCCCAGTGTGGAACACATCTCACCACGCTAAAACAGTGGATGTGGCTCTTAATGAGACATGCCGCGTTATCACGGGGTGTCTGCGCCCTACACCACTGGAGAAATTACACTGCTTAGCCGGTATTGCACCACCTGACATCCGCTGGGAAGTAGCAGCCAATAGTGAAAGGACCAAGGCAGAGACATCTCCAGCTCATTCCCTGTTTGGGTATCAGCCAGCATGTCAACAACTTAAATCTAGAAATAGTTTTCTGAGATCTACAGAGACACTTGCTGGAACACCTCAGCAAGCAAGAGTCCAAAAGTGGCAGGCTCAAATCCAGAACCTCAACCAATGGCTGATACCAAATGAGAGACTCCCCCCTGGGCACACAGAAGACTGGGCGACTTGGAAGGTGCTGAACAGACTGCGCTCTGGCACCACGAGATGCAGAGCCAACCTTCAGAAATGGGGCCATAAAGTGGAATCCACGGCATGCGAGTGCGGAGAAGAGCCAACCACTGACCACCTGCTGCAATGCACCCTGAGCCCTGCCACATGCACAAGGGAGGACCTCCTTGTGGCAACACCAGAGGCACTCCACGGGGCCAGATACTGGTCAAAGGACATCTAATCAACTACCAAACTCACACATTTTGTATTTTGTCTGTTTGTTTGCTTTGTTCTGTTAGAAATGTAATATAATTCGACTGGTTGCCCTGACACAACAAATAAATAAATAAAATAACTCAAAAAAGTAGCAAAATGCATTTAGATCGATATTTTAAGATTTAAGTATCTTTATATACTTTGAGACTGAATTTGCAGTGCACTGTCTCAAATGCAATAAAGTAACAGCAATCGTAACGATCAATCAAGTCTGGTAAACTGTCAGTGAAACAACCAATTAAAACCAATCAAAGACAAATGGAGTCAAAAAAAGGAAAAAAAAATAATTCTTTTTCCAAAGCCAGAACTGCTTTTAAAAAAAATAGAAATATGTATAACAATACCCTCCCCTTCCTCATACTTGGATATACATTAGACTTACAGATAGACTTAAGTTACTAACAAAAACTCCATAGGGTTGTTGTAGGTTTTTTCGGGCTATATGGCCATGTTCCATAGGCATTTTCTCCTGACGTTTCGCCTGCATCTATGGCAAGCATCCTCAGAGGTAGTGAGGTCTGTTGGAACTAGGAAAAAGGGTTTATATATCTGTGGAATGACCAGGGACAAAGGACTCTTGTCTGTTGGACACTCTCACAACCACCATGCCAGACTACACAGAGAAGCCACTGAAATCCACAAGCATGTGGACAATTTCATCAGAAAGGAGGAAACCATGAAAATGAACAAAATCTGGCTACCAGTATTTAAAAACTCTAAAATTACAACAGCAAAACAACAGAGATTAACAATCAGGCACATCTAATCACTTCTCAACAAAAGATTTCCCCAGGCACCAACAAGCCACACCAGGAGCTCCAGATTTATTTGCTTTGTATTAAATGTTTGTTAGCAGTCCTAGGTTTCAGGGACTCTGCAGATAGGTGGCTTCCTTTGGTTGCAGTCATAGGGCAAGTCACCTGTCCATCATCGTTAAGTTTTGGTTCCGCCCCTTGCTCAGAGCAGTTGGGAAGGGAAGGAAGCCATTTTTAGTTAGTCTCAGCAAGGAAAGCTAATGTACAGGACGTGTGCAAGCTTCCCCTGTACAAAAGCTTCTGGGGGGAAACAGTCTTAAGAGTCTCCAAAGATTTCCAGGGAAACAGCCCTAAAGACCAAAGAACTCCAGCTGGAGAACATCTAAGCCTTTACTGGTAGGTTCACTTGGTGCTTCGAGACGCACCGGGCTTGAAACGAATTGCTTTTAAAACAGGACGTGCAACTTTAGCCCAGCGGGAAGCCAGGGGGCCTGAAGAGAAATTCTTAAGGATTTTCACCATAAACAGTCTTTGGAGGGCTTGTGAAATATAACAAAGTCTTTTATTTGTGAACAATTAACAGAAACTTCGTCTTCAAAGGGTTAAACAAATGCTTCCAGGCTTTTGTGCAACTGGTGGTTTCTAACTGTTACGTTACTCTAAAAGAAAATCCCTTTCCAAACTTCTCCCAGGCCAACTGTGAACCTAAACCTAACTGATGTGGGCGCCACTACCGGGTTGAACTGCGTCTCAAAGCACCGAGTGGACCTACCAGTAGGCCTGTAGTCACTTCAGCTGGAGTTCTTGGTTAGGTCCAGTCGTAATCTTCGTTATTTGAAATAAATTCAGAAAGATTACCTTTTTGAAGTGATTTTGAACTTTTTTAGGAAACCGGAAGTCCCCTTGCCCTTCCAAAGCTAGTCTCACCATTTTTTTCTTAGATATTCAAAGCTGTTTTTCCCTCCGAAATTCCTCAGAGCTTTAGGGCTGTTTCCCTGGGAATCTTTGGGAATCCTTTTGCTCTTAAGACTGTTCTCCCTCGGGAAGTCTTAAGGGTTGAAGCCTTTGTACAGGAGAAGTCTGTACACGTCCTGTATAGGCCTGTGCGGTTTCATTCGTTAATTTCGTTATTCGTTAAACATTCATTATTTTTGGCATTTACGAGGCGATATCAAAACACTTTTTCAAACCCGGAAGGGTTTTAAGATATCGAAGCGTTTCGAAGCTTCCGCCCGTTTCGGAAATTGGATGGAGGATGCAGGTGCCTGGGAGCCAATCCGGCGCTCCCAAGCACCCAAGCAGTGCACCGTGGCTGATTTTCATTGGCCGGCA